ACACGACGCTCTTCCGATCTCCCCAAAACCCCAAAACCCCGTCAATGGATATTAATGTTTAATCAAAAGAGGATTATGAAATAAATAATAATCAATCATTCAGATTTACCATTAGGACTATTTCCACCAGCAATGCTGCTTGGCTGAGTGATGTTCAAGCATTTCTCAAGTAAAGCATTTACTCTGTTAATTACAACCTGCTGTGATGTTGTTTTGGAAATATCAATTTTATTCTTGACGAAAGAGCACTTCATAGTATTTTCAAAGTATATCAGCATCTCCTCAACATTTGGCTTGCCTTGCTTGTTGTTGTTTTGGAAATCAGGATAGGCTATAATCAGATTCCTCGCCTCTGTTCTATCAATAGCACTTTAAACTAATTTTAAGGGCACTTTCACCAAAACCTTGACTCTGTATTCGTTGTCTTTGCTGAAGTCTGATTGAATTATAATAAAGAAATCTTAGTCTTGCAAGAAATAGCATGGCATCATCTGAGTCCCCTTCCTGATGTTGCACAAAATAAGCTCATTGTTAGCTGAAATTTCATAACTGTTGCCTTAAACCCATTTAGAAATTTCTCTCTCACCCTTCTTAATTGGATTTTCCTTAAGTCTTATATTTACTGAGCCATCATTCATAGTAAGATTAAATATCATATGCCTCAATGACAAGAAAAGTTTGATTCTCAACCTAATAATCTCCATCTCCTTGATGGGATATGACAAAGCTTAAGGCATTTTTCTAACAGATTTATCATCGATACTTGGAAGCATAATAAGTGGATCACTAATTAAATTTTCTATTTCAGATTACTCAACGAATTTAAATTTCAGCCATTCCTCTTCAATCATCTCTGGTAGATTTTCTGAAATTTGTGGATTAAGCAGCTGCTTTTATAAGCAGTTGATACTTGAGCCGTAGCAATTCTTCAGCTGAATATAGTTTATCTAGCTAAGTGAGCACTCTAGTTTCTTATTGTAAGTGAGATGGCAGATAATGCTACAAATTAGCTTAATGGTTATCATTCTGAATGGTGGATCATTTGAAAGCAAATTAATAAGGTTCTCAATAATCTCTGAATCGTAAATTATGCCATTGCAAGAGTTTAAGATGTGCTTTTAAAATTCTAATTCCATATTCTCAACTTCCTTTAATCTCTAATTCTGCAAGTTCTACTTCTTTCTTGGTGAAAGGTCTAATCTGTCAACATCAGTAGTGTTTATTAATTTTTGAAGCAGCAGATTCTTTCTTCTGAAGCCTATTGGGTATATTTTTGATCTGAATAGCAAGCACTAAGAGAAATAAATAATGATTATATTATTACTGGAGAACATTTGGAAATAGTCAAGATAGAGTAGAGGGTACAGCAGGTTAAAAGTATAAGGTTGTCATCTTTAGACTTCAAGAAGTGTAAGAATTGAATTCTCCCGTCATTCTTATCATAATCCTTATCTTTTTTGGTGTCATTAATCTATATATTACATGAATAAAATTCTCATTACAAGATCTATGATTAATTGGAACTAAGACTCAATTATTGAGTTTATCCTAATTATAAAGAATCCATCCTAATCTTAGAGAATGAGTTGCAATCCCTAGTCTAGTTTATACTTTACCAACCCTACTGGATGTCCAAGTGCTTGAGACAGACCATAATGATCCTCTTCCATCATCCTCAAATCTTCTCTAAATTTTCAATTAAACTTATTTGAGCTACTTACGCAGTCAATGTTTCCTAAATGATCTTATAGATCTCTTAATTGAATTCTTATCTTGTTTCGTTTTCATATCTGATTTCTGGTGAGATATCTTGTATCTTTTCTTAAACAGACTTGAGACAAGGATACTTTTAATCCTCTAAGAATAGTTCTAGACACTGATCATTGAAGTTTTCCTGAATATAAATCTTCTTAGTATATTAAAAAGGAAGTTTCATCATCCATTTGTATTTATAATTTTAAGGCTGTACCTCAGGGTAGATTTCAACTTCTCTCTTTATAACCTTAGGTATCTCTTACAATAGTAATGAAGCAACTAATACATTAGTAAAAGGCTAATACTTAATGTTGATCAGTGCTTATATTAGGACATATTGGGATGTGCTAATGGATATTATTGGCTTTTGTTAAATACACACTAAACTTCCTACCACCACAGGTAAGTAGCAATAATGCAAGAGACAGTTAGCTAGCATGTCACTCACAATTTTATTATCAACTTCGAATACTTCCTAAAAGAATTCCATCATATCCTGCAGTTCTTCCACAGATGAAGAGAGTAATTCCTAGTTCTTTTGAGGTTTACCTTTGTTTTGATGTGGTGAGTGAGTACTAGCATAAGACTAATCTAGATCCAAGATTTTGTCTCTAAAGTAGCATGATAGATTAGCGAAGTATTGGCAAAATGGTAGATCCATGAGCAGAGTATTAATAGAATCTTCGTTTAGCTTGAAGATTGTCAGGGCGATAATTCTTATTGCATTTCTTACCATCATTTCTGGATGGTTGTAAAACTTTATTGCTATTGCGAACAATGGAAAGCTCTTAAATCTCTAAATTAAAATATTACACATAGAATCTCTATACTTAGTTAAAGAAGAATTTTATGGTTTCGTTATTGATCTGCAATGCTAATGACTTTAAAAATGAAATATAAACATCAACTAGTTCCTCATCATAAAAATTGAAGTTAAACGAAATCAGCTTATTCAAAAATGGATGACTCAATATGTAATCTAAGAAAGATATAAATCATAATGAGCTATAATTTTACATTTCTTAGTCATCTAGTCAATGTTTTGCAAGAATATACTAGATGTTTAAATCAGTTGCATATTGGCGAATCTGTTATTCATATTCAAAATGCTCACAAAACTCTCGAGGGTGTTTCTCTCGCAAAATATATCGAAATAGTTCTTTTTAAACTTTTCACTATACACCACAAATTCTGAGAGATTTCTAATCACCTCAACGTAGAACATTTAATTACGCTCATCCAGAGATTCTATTTCCTCTAAGCATTTTAGCAGAGACCTACAGATGAATTTATTAAATAATCAAAGTTACATAAAATGGCCTTCATTGTATTTTTAATCAAGAGAGATTTATCCATCATCGTTATCAAATGACTCCATTGTAAGTTTATAATCAAAAATTAATCAATTATTACAAATCTCTCAGATGGCTTAAATTCAGTCATGGGGTTTTGGGGTTTTGGGGTTTTGGGG